CCCAAGTTTTGAAGACAGAAATAGCCGGAAGTTTCTATTCTTGCTATACACTGCGCTGTCAAACAGGACCGTTTCCTGAATCTCACTTTTGGTAGTAACAAAGTAACTGAGAAAAGTCCAAGTATGGTGAACCTTTGTCGCATCGGTATTCCATATTTTTACTGGTGGGCTGTCTAACAAGTTTCTCAGAAAGACGAGCACAAAACGGACGTATCGATGTCTGTAAGTAAGGAAGTAAGCAAACTGTGAGGTGCTAAATGCAAATGGAATAAAAGTGCACATTTAAATACAGAAAACACTAACATACGTTCGATGGGAATAAAATGCCGTTAGGGAGATGACACACGACGTGGGCAGAGAATTTGCTCTCAGTAGAGCTGTCCAGCACGAGAAAGTTCTATAAAAACTTCATGAATAGATAGTCAATTTGCGCAACGGACCATGACTGTAATTCTTCACTCATCGAAAAAGATGGATATGCTACCAGTGTGGCTCCCAACATTACCGCCTGCGTCACACGGGCATCCAGCAATACTGATCAGAGGTTTTTCAGCTTTTGAACCAGTTTGTGAGTATAGATATAGCTCTGCCTACATCGATGCACGCCCACCCACGATAGCACATCTTACTACTCCGTCCTCACCTGTGCTTCGTACACTGACATTACGTCCCATGACGCTTTCTTCTGCTTTGTGAACTCTCTCATAATCTTTCCCTTCCGAGTTATAGATATTTAAGTAGGTACCGCTCACCGAAGGTGACCTCCTTAAAGGCAAAATTCGGGATAAAATAGGTGTGGAAAAGCATTCAATTGAAATGTATACTGGGGGAGGATCCGTAAATAAGAGGAACAAACAACAATATCGATACGCCCGTACAAATACCGTCCCCTATTCAGTCCAAAATCCACATTTGGTAATAAAAGGCGCGTTGGACTACACGAACCTAACTACTCAACTGCTCCATCCAATAACGTGGATCGCCTGACGATGACCGGGCTGCCATCAAATGCACCCGCGCAATCAAAGGAAGCACCACGGTGCTAACTTAGTTGGGGCACAGCGCGGCGCGCAGGCCTGCTCGTCTGCCATCTGCGAAATCCGTGCCAGGGGGAGTTACGCAGTCTGTGATGTGGGGGCAGAGTCAACCCTGCGTTGCGCAGTTTCGCCCGATTAGACACGTTCTCTCGCGCGAACATTCACACTCGCATGCTCGAGCCGTCTGCGTCTCCGCCCATACAGCGTGCGTTGAGGATCTCTCAACGTGCCGTTGCGAACTGCGCAACGCAGGGTTGACTCTGGGGGTGGGGCAGTCACTTGACATGCGTGAAAAGCTGGAATGTTCGAGTTTACACTGTCTCGCTCGAGAGAGCCCAGGTGAGCAGACTGCCGCGCCGCCGCGTGGCCCCCCCCCAACTAAGTTAGCACCGCACCACGTGGCATTCGACAGCGGAGGGTGGGGCTTGCGGACGAAGGTGTGAGTTGCGGGTCGGACGAGCTCCTTGCGCCTTTGTCGCGCACTTTCAAGCGGCAAAAGGGGCGCGACATCAACACTTGTCCGCCTGCCTACTACCCCCGGGATGGAACAGGCGAGCGCGCCTAATCGCGGAGCGTGCCTTTAACTTGAGGTGACAGCCCCAGATCAATATTGATGAGTTAACAGCGGTCGATAAAATAGCGGATGCTGAGTTGAATGAAAAGGGAAAAAAAGCAATGACAACCGACAATGATGTTCTTGAACAGGGACTCCCTCTCTTCCCCTGTTTGTGTTACTTGCCTTCTTCCCTCCCAACATGAACGGGTCACTTGTAAACACTGACAACTACATACAAAGCCTCATGCGAGAAAATTCAGTTTCCACTAAATACCGGAAACACGGAAAGAGTTGCGTTTTGGAGCAGCCAGAAACGCATTGGAAGATGCGGAAAATCGAATGCTCAATACCGCTTCTAGCTTTTTAAATGGTTTGTCTATACGAAAGCAATTTTTTTTGGTTTTCTCCCTCCTATTGTGGAGTGTGACTCTCAAGGTAGCGAATTATGGAGGACAGAGAGAAGTGCAGTTTTCCGGACAGTTCCTTGTTTTCAGGACAGTTGATACAGAAACTGTGGCTCGAATTCCGCTAATTTTTATATCACGCAAGAATAATGAGCGAAACCTGCAGACTATTCTCGAATGCATTAATTCTTTATCTATTCACAGCTCTCTTATGGTTAGTAATCGTTGTATGGATGGCGTGATATCAGGAAAAAGCCTCACACTTTGATGGTATTCAGCCTATTTTGGTTTTGAAGCTCCTGCCGAGGTATTACCCAGTGACCTTTCAAAATCAGTTAATGTTGGACTTTGAAGCACTTGTAGCACACAACCGTGGCACACACATGTTGAAATTATTACATTAGTAGCAACATTCAGCTTCAATGGTGTAATACCTTGAAAGGATCCACATCGAGATCGAATTCGCTCTTCAACAAGCGCTGAACAGTCTCCATAAA